CATCATCATCATCATCATCATCATCATCATCATCATCATCATCATCATCATCAATGTCATTATCTTTATTATTGTCAGTTTGATTCTTTAATATACAATTATTATTAGTAGTAGTATTTATTCATTTATTTATTATTATTACCCCTCTCAACCCGTATTGATCCTGGGAGGCAGGGTCGAAACCCGCCCCTCTACGATTTTTTAAAAAAAAGAAGAAATATTTACAAAGCCACCGGGAGATCCTACTTTTTCATTCTGTGTTTGTTCTGCCTGTCTTACTTTTACCTGCACTATGGATTTAGAGAAGGCAAAAACAACAAACAGACAATGAAACAAACAGACCATGAAACAAACAAACATAAACCCAATTCCGTATTGATTTTCCTTAGCTCTTGGCATTAAAAAAATCATCGCCTGTGTCTTGTCAGTTTTGAGAATTCAATTTTGTTAAACACTCTGGCCGATTGCAGGTGGTTTCGTTCTGGATATGGGAGCTAATGACCTGGATTTAAATCTTAAAAGGAGTATTATTTTGCGTGGGTTGTTTTGGGGCGTTTTCAAGCGTCGTCATTCTTATTCCATACCTTTCATACCACTGTAATATATTAGAGTTCAAAGAGACTCTTATTTCAGCACTCTTTTCTTTCATCTTCATAATATGCTTAGCAAGTTGTAGCGTCTGTAGCCTAGTGGCTAGTCTACTGGACTCGAAGTCGTGAGATTGCCGGCTCGGGGTTTCAAGCCTCAAGTCGGTCTAACGCTGTGTCCTTGGGAAAGACACTTTACACGGATTTCCCAACTGGCTCGGTCCTTTTGGAGATGGACGTCAAACTCACAGGTCCTGCCTCTTAAATAACCCAATACTGTTGACAGGGCCGTTACATCTATACCATTTTTTCACTTACCACGTTTCAAACACAGTAATGCATGTGTTGGTGGCTGGTAGTGCTGGGCGGCGAGGTTCCCGATTATTGAAAACTAGGAATCGTAGGAATCGACTCCGAACCCAATTACTTACTTTCTAATACGGGGTGCCCACTACGGCTGGATCGGCCGATTGGGCCGATCGCCCGACTCGATCGCCTAAAAAACAAACGTGTTTATTTTCAGTTTCAGGCGATCGAGTAGGGCGATCGGCCCGATCCAGCCGTAGAATGATGTGATTTCTTCTGGTGGTTACCCGGTTGACTCCGAACATCTTCAGGATTTAGGATAACCTTGATTTCGGAACACTACGAAGCATCAACTTTTATTTGTCAAAAATGCATTCTTAAAAAAAAAAAGAAGAAGATTTTAATAATTAAAGTAACTGGTAACCATTGGTTTACGTAAAAGGAATTGGAACTTTTCTTCCGTAGCATTAATGCATTAATCGTGGGGTTCGGTTCCGGAATCAATTCTTCGCCCAGCTCTAGTGGCTAGATGGCGCAACTAGCAGGTTCTACTTCTTTACTATTCCTCCTTGTTGTTTCTGTCTTCTTATCTTACCGGCGTCTGTGGTGTAGCAGTCAGGTGCTTCGCCGTCACACATGGGAGACCCGAGTTTGATTCCCTAATGGGGAGAAATTTTGTCAAGTATCTCGGTATTAATATTGGAATGTTGTATCCTTCTCAGCCTTGGTTGGCCAGGGTCGAAACCTGCCTCTCACATTTCGAACTATATTATGTCAATTAGGCTGTAAAAACTCCAAGAGTAAATCTCCTTATCTTTCCTCTCAGCTCCAGTTGTTCCTGACAGACAGAGTCGAAGCCCTCCTACATTGTGTCGATATGATTGTAAATCCACTTTCGTCTTGTTTTTACATCAACCTCTCTTTTTCAGAGTACTTATTGGCTGTTAATTTGTCAACGTGTTTCTATTAAAATTTATTAGAGTCTACACTTCCCCTCCACAAAACACTCTAAACAAAACGAAACATAACAACCCCCTCTCCCAAATCCCCCTTCCCCCCAAAAAATCAACACTAAACAAAACAGTGCACGCATAACGCAGGCCGTGCGACTGACACCCGGCTAGTCGATGCTCCTGTGACTTTGAGCGGACCTTCTAGCACGTTCCACACAAGTCTAGTCATGATGGGACCTCTGTTTCAAGTTCTGCTGGTCCTGTGTGTGCACGTGACCTGGAGCGGCGCTTTCGAACTCACCATTCTCCATACTAATGACGTGCATTCCCGGATTGAGGAAAGCAACAAGTGAGTTCTGAATTTGTTTTTACTTTACTACCTTGTAATTTAGATTTTGGTTTTCTGTACTTCTTCGTGGATTCATTTTCTGAAGAGGAGACAGTAAAAAGCTCGTAGTTTCACATGATTTTAAACTGGCACTGCCATAAAATCATGAAATCCTTTTTCTTCCTCTTCCTGCCATGTGTTAATCTTTGAAATACCTCAATATCTGACAAATTTAAGCACATTAAGGGTAATAAACTATTCGAAGCGTAAAGGTGAGGAAAAAGACGTCAGAAGTGACTCAAGGTCATTCATACAACCACTCTCAACTTACCAAGATTCTGGCAGTGTCTGTTAGCATTAACAGTTTGTCCTGGTTCCAGAATGTCAAAAAGCAGAACACCCTTAGCATCCCAGAAAACCGTGGCTATGAGTTTCTTCACCGATGGCTGAACTTTTAAACTTTTTCGAGAAAGGTGAA